TGTGGTATTTAACTTTGAGATCTGGTAATAAAATAGTTGATTAAACTCATTGTTCTGATGTTCTAAATGATGGTTTTGGATAATTAAATTTGTTAGCTTTGCGATAAAAGAACAATTATCGAGATCCTGGTGTTACTATCGAAACAGTCGTCCCAGCGGATGGATAACATTATCTTTTCATATAATGAGATTATTAGAAAAGGACAATACCATTATAAAATGGTGATAAACTACGTTGTAATTTAAATATTAACTTCAGTTTTATAAATTAGATAGATGATAAATGATTTAAATACGTTTGCAGAATGGTAAAACCATTTTTTTGGAAATAATCACTGAAAGCTCACTAAAAGACATAAGTTTTGATAATGGTAAAAAAACTAAAACTTATTTAGTGTGCGATGACGAATCACATATATTAATAAAAAAAAACTAAGAATCAAAATAAATTAAAATTTGAAATTTATTCTATTGTACAAAACTAATTGATAGCATTCTATGTAGCATTTTTATGTCTATGTATGATTTATTTTATTCACTCTCGATCCATTTCTAATAGCTCAATTTACCATTGCATGTTATCAAATGCATGTCAAAAAAAATATTTTTACACATCAATTTTGATACAAGCTCAATTTGAATTTTTACATCGGCCATGTGCAACAATCTCCAAGAGGATCATATAACAAGTCATGGAGGGGACAATGGAAATGATATTTTGTTTTATTTATCTACATTGAGATAAAAATGGACTCGATAAGTACTATGTTTTAAAAAAGCACACAATCAAGCAAAATATTTCAGATAGTTAACAACTACAGATTTTCATTGTGGTCTTGTAAAGGACAATGGAATCTATTTGGAAAAGTATAAAATGAACATTTAAAAAAAGTTGTAATGAAGAAGAAGTGTAATTACTAACAAATATGGTAATTTGTATTTGCTTTAGATAAATTGTGTTTAGTGAAATATTTAATGAAAAACTAGTCAATATATATTGTTGAAATTATCTGATCAAGCCCTTTGTGTGTTTAAGAATATGGACTAAATAAGTAACTAACTAAAACCAAGTAGTTCAATATTTCATATCAACAACGACCAGCTCGATATCAAGCAGTATGAAATCAAATTTACTCTTGAAGTTTTTTATCTCAAATATAATCTTAAGTGAAAATTGCTTTTTTTGGTCGTTGCAGCAACATATGAGACAGGGTGTCCCAGAACTTAACGTCAAGCCAAAAAAGGGTGATGTTATTGACCTTAAGTCTACCGAAAAAAAATTATCACACGTTGTTTGGAAATTGTGAGCTTTTAAGTGCAACCTAGAGCTTTGATGAAATTATGATCATTTTTTGGTAATTGTGATTGATTATTATATTAATTTTGTTTATTTAAGCTTTAGAATTGTAACCGTGAATAACATTTCTAAGATCGCAGTAAAAAATATCACAATTGTTCCGAGTTTTCAAGATGTTAGACTTTTTGTTGATATATGAATTTATTTTTTTTTAAATTAGTTGACTTTGAAAAAACCCTCTTTTTAGGTATTAAAGATGCTGTAAGTTTTATCAAAAGTTGGCGTATTTAATCAAGACTGTAAAGTAATAAAATACTTATCTTAAAAAATTTGTTTATAAAAATAAAACCTAACTAGTTCGTATTGGTATTTTGCCTTGAGGCAAATTACATGAACTTCCCGATATGTGTAATTAATCGAATTAATCAATAAAAAATAAATTAATTTTTGAGTGATTAAAAGTATTCCGAGTGGATTTATAACACATAATTGAAAGCAAATTAACACGTTAACTCTGAGTATTTTCTAAAAGCAAATTTTCAAAAATCAACAATTTTTATAATTGAACCAGTTTCCGTGGGATTTTAATGGTTTAGTTTGTTTATTAAGACCAAGTACTCTATCGTTATACCAAGTAAATCATCTAATTTATATATTAACAAACGTCAAAAAAACTACTCGTTTTCTCAAACTTTGATAAATTTTTAAAATTAAAGTACTTGTCGTAAGGCGGTAATATTTCAATAAGTTGTATAAGACCATGATATATATCATCAAAAAAAGTTTCATAAAAATCGGTTCAATTTTTTTTCAACAATTAATTACAAGAAACTGCTCGGTCGATTTTCATCTAAAACTAATCAGTATCATTCCCAACTAACATCTTTCGAACAGTTATCGAATTTTTAAAATCAATTCGGTAGTATGAGCTTAAATGTGGACGAAAAGTTTAACACTTTTTTCCAAATTACAAAGAAACGACTCGGCAAATCGTCGCACAGAACTGACGAATAATAGTCCTCATTGAGATACATGAAATGGCTTTTAAATTTCTGAAAACGGTTCAGGCATTTTTGAGAAAATGTGAATCAAAGGTCTAATTTTGACAAATGCCAAAAAAAAACGGTATTATTTTTTGCAAACTTTGACGAATTTTTCGGGTAAAAATACTAAGTTAAAATATACAACAAAAAAAAAAACACTTTGAAGAACACCGAATTCTCATCGCTGTGATAAAAGACCTATCTAATTAGTAGAAAAATATTACCATGAAATTAACATTCAATATTTATTATCCTATTTGAGTAAAATATTATCAATAATATCCATCACTAATAGTATTAACAATTTTCTCGTTTTTTTCAGATTATTATCCAGATCTATAGAGCATCAAGGAGTATATCAAGGAGTTTATAGTTTTATAATAATATGTGGTTAATAATTTAAATTGCAATAAATCACAACGGGTTCATTGATATTAAAGTGTTTTATCCAAATGTTGATATAAATTTTAACACAAGTGATTTATATCAGTTGTAAGTTTAAAGTGAAACATTAATAATGATCAAACAGTATTCTATATAAGAACGATAAATAAAATTTAAAAAATAAAGTGATATTAAATCGTGATTCCAAACTCTTGTGATCTTTATATCCAAGAATGAATAAAAAGTTCTAAATAAAACTCAATTTTCCGGATAATTATCCATTCCCTGGACAAGTGCATCAATTAAGCCCAGTGTATTCCGTGTTATGTTTCACGGCAGTAGCGGCGGTTCTAGCGCGGGCTACGGACAAGATATGACGGGAGGAACGACCGGGATGTTCCACCAGGCGCAGGCTCCGGTCTACGTGCCGTCCAGCCGGGCGCTGCCCCACGCTGGACAGTACGCGAGCACCGGACATTTCGGGGCGACTCCGGTGCCGCAGAACGCGTGGCATCATGCTTCCGACGGATACGGTAAGTAAAATATATTAGAAATATTATAATAGAAATACAGCGAAATATTCATTTGTAACCAAGTGAAATAGTAAAATGTCCAAGTTTTCAGCGATCATTTTCGGTTCTGTTCGAGTTTCGTAACTTTTTTCAGTTGCGTCGTTTTTAATTTATTTAAAAAAAAACGTATTTAATATTCTACTTTACAGACCATTGTGTTCAAAATTAGTTCAAAATTCTAGTCAAGACCACGCCATTGGTTCAATGAAATTTCATTGTCACTATAAAAGAACGCGAGGAATGTAAATTTATTATTTTAAGGAGTTTTAATTTTACCGGGCCATGGGTGCCCCAAACATGCGCAAAACTTAGTAGAAATTTTTTTATTTAATTTCACAAATAGCAAAAGTTAATATAATCATGAAAACTTACTTTCAACTAAATTTAATTTGAATAAAAATATGAGCATGTAGAATATAAAAATATAATTTTAGAGGGTTGTGATAGAATAGCAAACTGGTATTTTATTAAGTCATTTCTTGAATAGATTGTGCAAATTAAAAAATCAAAATTAATTTAGCAATTTGCTAAATGTCTCGAAAAATTCAAAGGAATCAAAACAAAGGAATGGAACGTAACGAAAACTATATGCAAAGTATAGCGACCCGTAATCTTATTTCAAACTCAACATTTTGCTAATTAAATATATTAATTTCTCATACTAAACATAGATTTCCGAGACTTCGACTCAATTATTATGTTCGAAAAATTACAACTGGGGTCATTTCGCAAACCACTACAGTACAGTAAGATAATCTCTTTACATTTTTATTGTAATTGTAATTGTAAACTCTCTAAAAATATGTTTAAAATATGAAATTCAATTTCTATTGCTGACAAAATTCAATAGTTTTGCATACAATTTTCTCAAAGTAATTTGTGCATACTATTTACCCAATTGCAACTGCAAATGATAAAATTTTCAAAGATATCTTGAAAAAAATTATAGGTATGATCATGGAAATTCGTTTCATCAAAATTCGTTTTATCAAGAAACTATATCAAAAACTATAGACATCAGAAGTTATAAATGATTTAATAAATGTGTATGCTGAATTTGAATTGTTTGTAGAAATATTGGAAAGCGCTAGATAAATATTGATGATAAGTGAATACTTATTAATTTATTTATTTATTATTTTTATGTGAGAAAATTTTGCCCTAACTGAGAGGGCCCCCAAAAAAATTTTGGTACGGGGCCCCACCAATGCACGCTACGCCCCTGCATAGCATCTAATTCATTCGAACAAAAAATGGCTATTTTTTATAATATTTTATTATGTGTACGGATATTATTGTAAAATAGATAGTAACTATATATTACAAGTAACTGAACTATCCAATTTACAGTGGGTAAACCTATTAGTTCCAACTCACGAACAAATGTTTAACCAATTATTATGAGTTTGCTTAAAAATTACGCTCCTGAAGAACTGAATATTACAAAAATGAATTCGAATTCTGAATAATTTAACTCGGAGTGATAAATCTCAAAGAAAATTTCGACAAATTTGATGTCGTCTTTAGACGACACTTATACACACATGGAAAGTGTGTATTGTAAGGTGTATAATGTATGATGACACATGAAAATTATCAAAATTTTTAATTATTTTAGGATCGACTCACCACAGTGCAGCACATAGTTTAGGGGCTCCTACTGCCCATTCGTCGCCTTTGGCGTCCCAATTTTACGCCCAAAATGCGATGATGAATGCAATGTCGTGGAGGGCCTACGACACCGCAGCAGGATTTCAACGAACATCACCCTATGGTAAGAAAAAATAATATATTTAATAAATAATATAAAATTATTTTATTATATATGTATTATAAAATATGTAGAAAGCAAATTTATAAATACAAAATAAGTTTATAAAAAAAAATTAGGTATAGTTATAGATGAAACTGAATCTTATTGAATTACTATTTAATAATAAATATATAGCAAGGCGTGCAGTTCCAATAAAACCTTTGATTATTTACTCTTACGCGAATTTGACTGATATTCTTCATAAACAATACTTTACACAAATGATATTCAAAGTATCCATTCATTAAAAAACGTGAATATCACAACAATTATATTAGTATATTAAGCATTTTTATCCCAACATATCCTCTTAAAGTTCATCTAGTACCCACACACAAATTGCACCTTCATTTGATCAACATTTACCGTCTTACGAAGCAATATCATAATTCAATGCACACATTCAATTGCATAAATGCGTAGCAAATAACATTAAAAAAGAGTTATTGCAAATAAAATTAATTTTAATACTTGTTAATAGAGGTGAAAATCAATTAACATTTTAAAATAATTAAATTGAGATTTATTTATCTATATTCTCATAAATATACTCATGTTTATGAGCAATTATTATTGTTATTGAAGGTGTTAAGATATATAAGTAGTTAAGAATATTGTAATATATATATATATATATATATATATATATATATATAAATTTACATGAATAATCACATAACAAAGTATGCAATTTTATGCTTTTTGCATTTTAATATTATATAATGATGAATGATTTTTTAAATGTTTAGAAGTTGTTAGCTAAGGGCATATGCATTATCTAAATTCCTACATATTCCCAACTTAAGCCCTTCATGTTGTACATATTTATTTAATGCTTCTTTTTTGTCCTTTACAAATTTGTGTCAAAATTGTAAATTAATCCATATTTGTCAATGCACCCTTTTCACTTTAAATTTTATAATATCTTAATTTTTAAATGTAGTGCCTAGTCATACTAAAGTTCTCAAAGTCTAACTTACTTCAAGTATATTAAGTACCAATTAATTAAGGTTGCTCAAAGACTTTTTTATGCTTCAGTCCTTTTTCTAAAATATTGTAAAATAAATTGCATTTTTTTTTTAATTTTCGCCATGCAATTTTAAACCACTTTTTGAAATGCATTTTTAACTCTCTCAACTCGGATGCCACCGCTCCGGCGACAAAATACGTACTTACTCTGCAATTAGCTAGTGGAAAGGGATATTTGCTTTTTAGTTATATACCATGCAATTTTTAGATATTCGTTAAATGTATAGTATTATATTAAATATTAATGTATAGTACATTAATTCCGGCTCGTACGTCCCGGATTTTTTTTAGAATTTTTGAAATAAAAAAAAAATATGATCACCTTAACTATGAGGGCCGTCCATTAATCACGTTATCAATTTTTAAGGATTTTGGGCCTCACCCTTGGTGATATTTAAAATTAACGCCCTCCCCCCCTCTCTCAACCTTTAAAATGCATTTCTAATAAATAGAATATTCTTTGCCTAATATTCACATGCTATGCAACTTTTATATATTTGTTAAAAAAATTAATGTTTTGTACAAATGGTCTATAGGTACTCTCGGATTTTTCCACCTTACGTCGAAGATTATTTGAGAATCTTTGAAATACAAAAAATGTGATCACCTCAACTTAAGGACAGTCCATTATTGATCACGTGATCGATTTTTAAGGATTTTTGGACCTCTTCCTTCTCCTTGGTGATATTTAAAATTATAACCCTCGCCCCCCCTCTCTCTCTCTCTCTCAACCAACATCACGTGCATTTCTAGTACCAAGAAAAAATGATAAAATTTTTGCAATTTTTTGTACAAATGTTGAATTTTTTATAATTCACTTAAATTGCCCCCTCCCCCACTTTAAAGCCTCACGTCGGCTCCATAAGTACTCGTTCTGCACGATTTTTTTTTTCAAAAAAAATAATCAAAAAAATTTTTTTTTTACATGTTACGATAGAATTAAGAATATCGGCTTCATAAGTATTTGTTTTCATTTCAAGAAAGAATGATTTTTTTTTTATTATTATATTATTCTTGATATTCTATATTTTAATAGAATATCAAGAATATCAACCGAATAAACCTGATTTAATTATGTCATTTTCTTTTTTAGATGGTTCGATGGATTTCCAATTCGGTGAAGGGCGCGAGTGCGTCAACTGCGGTGCAATTTCTACGCCACTGTGGCGCAGGGACGGCACAGGGCACTACCTCTGCAACGCCTGCGGACTTTACCACAAGATGAACGGAATGAACCGGCCCCTGATCAAACCCAGCAAACGACTGGTAAGATTAATTATATTAAATATCCGAACATAGTGTTGTTTATTCATATAAAATAACTGAACCTCACACAACGCAGTTTCATGATAGTTATTTATGCAAAGCTTTATCTATGGCAGGTACGGTTGGCTTATGGTAAATTATTATTTTCTATATAAACAATAAACAGCTAATTATTAATTGAATGCATAAGATGTTATGTTATTTACGATTTTTAATTACTGCGATGTTTGCGGATTTGCATAAATAGCTGTGTCGGCAAATTTGATATATTGTACTTTTAATGTCAGTGATAATAAAACTACTAATGTAAATTATTTTATTCTGCTTATAATTTTAATAAATTGATCGCAATAGGTCTGCAAAGACATTCTAATAAATTATTAGTAAATGCGAGTGAAATATTAACGAAATTATGTATTATCATATTAATCGCCACAATAATATCAGATTTTTTTTCACAAGGGATGTGGTAACTTTATTAGATAACTTCGGTAAAAATGTTTTATGAAAATTTAGTGTATCAAAGAAAAATGATTTTGTTTTTGAAATTTTTATAGCTCTCATATGTGACTGACATGGCTCTATATTAAAACCCTATTTCCTTCTACCGGATTGCCTATGTCAGACATGTATGCCTGACATGGCTCATGTATAACACCTTAGCGTTAGGCACACATGACTGACATGGGTACCAACGTGATTTATAGTGTTCAAATTTTTTTTTCTAAAATTTTGTTCTATATTTGGAGATGACGTATTATGCAAGAACTTTAAAATACTCGGAAAATTCGTCTGATAACAAGTAATTTTAAGATTATTGTACGTTAGCAATTACAACTATCTCTAGTTAGTTACTTTTCGTGAGCCGGGGAGTTATCGTTAAGAGGCCGGTTATGGTTAAATGGGCCCATAATGGGCTTATAATAACCCGGTAGGTCGACCATTGTTTGACCCGGTGGCCAACGTATGGGTCTAAACTAACTGGGTTATAAATTGGCCCATAATGGGCTTGTAATAACACGGTAGGCTGTACATGGAACCAAACAAGTCGACCATTGTTTGACCCGTGCTGTATGGGAAATTTGCACTGATAACAAAGTTATAGGTCTCAGATAAAAATATCTATTTTATGGATGTGGCCGCAACACATAAACACCAACACTTAGATAAGCATATCCAGCAAATATAGTCAAAATATATAATATAGGAGAGTACTTCACCCCTAGGTTACCTTTCTGTGAAAAATACTATGTTGGAATGTACAGCTCCATAGATCATGTTATTCTGTTAAAAAATATATCCAAATATGGTGTGCGGTCTAAAACAGTTCAATATTTATAATTTTTATTCATTTATTTTATCTAATCTTTAAAATTCCTTCAATTTCAGACTGCAACACGCCGTTTGGGTTTGTGCTGCACGAATTGCGGAACTCGCACGACAACTCTTTGGCGGCGAAATAATGAAGGCGAACCGGTATGCAACGCTTGCGGTTTATATTTCAAACTGCACGGCGTCAATAGGCCATTGGCCATGCGGAAAGATGGCATCCAGACCAGAAAACGAAAACCCAAGAAGCAGGGCGGAGGAAATGGAGGCAGCATAGGAAGTGGAAATAGTACAACGCCTGTTAGCGAAACTACGCGGAAGGAGAGCTCTTCTCCAGCTGAAGGTAAGGGAGAAAATATCATCTAAAAAACTGATTTCTAGATACCTGAATCCAATCTAATCCAGTACTTTTCACAGATCTCAAACCGCCAATTCAGCAACAGACTACTTCTGCAAGCCACCACCAAACCACACCATCCTCTGTTGATAATGAGATCAACAAAAGCCATAACACGAATGGTCAACAAACTCCGACAAGTATCAGTGAGCGACCGTATTTAGGCCACACATCCTTGTTACCTGCGACAAGCAGCGCAAACTTAACTACACACCATCACCAGCAACAACAACCTCAGAATTTACATCACCACAGTACTAGTCAGCAACATCACCATCAGCAACATAGTAGTAACAACAATATATCCAGTGCTGGCAACATGAATCCGCAACATGTGAATAGTCATCTTTCTCACCACAGTCCATTATCTTCATCCATGAGCCATCATCATACAATGCACACACCTTCGTCGATCAATTCGGGGTATCAACACGTGAAAAATGAACCTAGTGAATACGATTACATGAATAATTGTCTTCCTGGAAGTTATTTTACAGGAACCAGTTTTGGTACGCCTTTGAGTCATTCACAGAGCAGTGCTGTAGATTCACTGAGTGGGTACCATCATCAACACAATGTCATCCAAGCCGCTAAATTGATGGCAACTTCTTGAAATTTTGGTTTGTAATAAGTAAAAATACTAAAGACTATCAAAAAATATAAATGATATAGAAGTCAACATATTTGATAACATATTTGTTGTTGACAAACACTGGGATGGCCAAGCAGCAAGGTCAATATCAAGCAATAATTACATAATAAAGTTTTGATCCAATAAATCATCATAGTTACTACGTCATAACATATCAAATTCAAAACGATATATATTTATTCATGATTATAGAATTCATTCATGACTAGAAATATATTTCTAGGTACAGTATAAAAATTATAATTGGTATTATTTCTTAAAAGTTAAGTTGTATATAATTTTGTAAATAAACCCACCGAGTCAGGCTTTGTATATAGCACTCAATAATAAAATTCAAAATAATAAAAAATATTGACTGATAATTAAATATAAAAATATTATGGTATTGAAAAATATCTGTCTTACGTTAGTTATGTTAGAATAGTAAATGCAATCATTCAGTGCGATTCATGTTTAAGTGCTTTGTAAATAGTAGGCAAAATTTTTATTGTCATTTGTTAAAATCTTAATTAATAGCATTGTATTAAATTATTAAAATCTTTGAATATATTTGAAGAACAAAAGTGAAATAAGAAATTTCAGTAAATAAATTATAAATCAAGTATATGAATAGTAGATTTAATATTTTAAACATAAATTTCAATATTCTTAGAAAAATATGTAGTTATTACCGATTTAAATTATTACTTAATCATATCTTTCATAGACTCAAAGGTACGTTTCTGCGTTCTAAATCTGATATTGTTCAGAAATGATTCTAATGTGATGTGCAATAATATTGCATATAATAATACTATTATTGTACTGTGTATTAAATTTAAGAAAATAAATCTATTCGTACTATGTATGTTAAAAATAGGACATAGTATATTTAATTTAATAAAGTGTAAAATTGTAGAAAATTTGTCGTTTCCAAATATGCAAGTGTATCACGCTATTATCATATGTATTTTAATGCAAATATGTCTTAAAATAAAATTAAAATAAATTATTACGTGTTTTATTCGGGATGATTAATTATTAATAATATTATGTTTTAGGTAAAATGTGTTTATAAAATATTTTAACTCACTTTTTTCGATATCAATGTAAAAACAACCGTTCCTGTACAACTTAAAGATATAAATGACGATTGTGTGCATTGATTTAATTTTATCAAAATACTGTTGCCATCTCTTGCAAATGATTGCTTTAATACTTTAAAAAAATGTTGGTTTATATTATTAATTTTACTTTTATTTTATTTTTAATAATATTTATATAGCTTTTTGAAAATATTTAATTTAGTTGAATCAAAATTAATGAATGAAAAATAAATATTATTTCATTAATATCAAAAAATAAAATGTTAGAGGGCCGAAACCAAAAAGTATAATTTAAAATTGAAAAATATTGTTATTCACAAACATTTAAAAAAAATCAATAGCAATTAATTTTTTCCCAAATGGCAAGAGATTTCGATTTTGGTGATGTTTAGCTGTAATTCGAATATATTATATATCAAAATCCGTTATAAGAATAAAAAAGTTGATTTAAAAAAACAACTAACAACATTGGTATAAGTTGTCTATGAGGTTATGAGTTGTTCTTCTAACACTTTAACATATTCTTTCATTTTATGTAATTATTTAATAAAAAAAACATCCTAATTTACACATGGCGTTTGAATTTTAAATATTGTGACGAGTTAAGGTTGATGGCCTTTTTCGGGGGTATTAGAATGACTGCCAAATATTATATATTAGCATTGCATCCCCATTACGAAAGGGTTACTCCAACTCCTTAACCCGACTTCTATGTACACCCTGTAATTACCTGTGGAAACTAAACCAGCTAACTACGCGATTGAAACAGAATGCACTTTTATCTTATTTAATTATGTTTACATATCTAAGGGCAGGACTGTACCTACGTACAGCCATGACCTGTGCCTAAATTCTAATGTACTGATAAATCCTTATTAATTACTAACGAAGTAACGTAACGGACTAGCTTAACAGAGTATCGGAAACGCAGTATTGGAGGAAATAGCTATTAAACAATAATACATCTGACCTTTGCTGAAACAGGTTCTCTTCTCCTGGCACAACACACACACCACTATACACTAAGCGGGTCCAAGGGCTGACGCCTAGACCCGATCGACCTTCTCGAAGGATGTTACATTTTCTAATGTAAACTTTTAATCCTCGACTTAGACCCTATATTGCAGGAACCCTAGTAGAGATGGGTGGGGGAGTCAATTTGCACTGAGGGTTGTGCAACCCTTTGATGACAATGCCAATTGTCGTTACAATATCCATTCAGATACATAAAATAATATATTATTGATATCATCAATAATATCAGTCAATTGAAACATAATTCAATTTACTAAAAAATATATTTTTCATAATACTAATATTTAATCACATTGTATAAATTTATACAGTTCAATAAAGATAAACTCTAAAATTAAAACAATAATATTAGCTTCTATGCTTTTAACGTCAACGTGACTTTATATCAAATATTTCTATGAGTAGAGGTTCTACTTGTGATGGATTAACATCTAAATAAACACTAATAACTTCATTATTTAAACGATGTAGTTCAGAAATTTTCTGTATTAATTTGAGGAATGTGGATTTTGCTTCACAACCAGAATAGACACTTTCCAAGTATCTCCTCAATAGGTAATAGTAAGAATTCTAAAATAAAACAAATTCTTATGTAAAAACTTTTGGATTTACATATTTTAGGTTTATATAAATAGGTTTTCACCTGTTCCAATTTGATTACATCAGAATGAACAGTCATTGGTCTGTCTGGGGTAAATAATGTAATGGCACACATGATAAGAATTATATTTTCATCCATTCTCCATCGTTGATCAAATGTTCTTATGAATTTTTCATGTTCTTGATATACATTTCCTTTTGCTAATTTTAGAACATCTGCTTTAATATTAGACATGGCTTCCTGAATATGTGGTATCTGAAATTAAGGTCTCAGCTTTAGTTTATTACTTTTCATTTCTAACTCATTTCCTATAATAAGTGTTGTCTATATTTCTTGGAAGTGTTAATTTTTTTCAATGTTTTATCTTAAACTTTGCACACTACGAGACATATTTTATTTGTATTATTGCTATGATAAAGAAGATATGAAGAGATAAAAAAGTAATGTTCAACATACTTTCCAAGTATCTCGATCACAATCATAAGTCATGGCACTTCTAAGAATCATCATTTCTGTGCAGCCACCTTTTAAAAGAGCAACTTGATCCTCTTGGCACATATTTTTAAATGCACTAATTTTTTTGGCCATTTTTATTAGTCTCCTAATTGCTACTGCTGTTAAATTTATAACACCTAGTAACATTGGTTCTTGTTGTCCATGATTTGTCTGCAGAAAAAATTGAGGACTTTGAAAAATATAAACCTATGTCCCAGTAATATAATCCTTAATTGCAGTAATATTTTCATTTGTAATTTAGTTAATTCTTATATTTTACCTTATATCTACAATGATCATCCACAAGATTAGTTAAATCTTCATCAAGTGGTGCACAGAGAGCTTTATTTGCTACTATTAATTCATTTAATTTTGCTCGCTCAGCATCATTTAGTTCTCGATTGGAACTATTGAATTGGGCAAGAGAACTGAACGCTCCAAATTCTAACTTGATTGCTTCACACAATATTGATTCTATAGAATTTGGTTCAACAGGCACCCTGGATGGAAATAGAAATATACTTATAATATATACTAATTATTTGAGAAAAAAATATTTAATATTAGATAATTACTTTTCTACTTGCTGTACTGTATCTTTTGCTACATCATCAGTGCTCGTCTTCTTATTAATTTGTGCGACCCCATCATTACAACTGACTATTCTATCTCCTGGAACCAACATACCCCGAATTGTATCGACTCCGCAAGCTTCTATATCTGTAGTATCAACATGTGGTACCTGTGTATCAACATGCTCCTTTTTAACATCAATATTATCAACCTGCTCCTTTTTAACATCAATATTATCAACAGGATGAGAAGTCTTCCGTTCTTTTGCTTTATTTTGAGCAATTTTTTTCTTCTTTAATACTTTGTCTTCCTCTGACATTATGTATTCAGTTTTCATTCCTGCCTTGAAACATTTTTGCAGTCGACAGCAAGGACAAAATCTTCTGGTTACTACGTTCACCTCACAATGCCCTTCGAATAGGCATTTAAATCTTTTAGGAGAAAGTGCATTACGTCTGAAAAATGCTTTGCAGCTTTCACAAGTGATTGCGTTGAAATTATAGCCTAAGGCTTTATCTCCACAAACAACACAGATTTTTATAGGAGAGGAATCCATTTTTAATATCAGTAATATTGTAAAATCATCAAATATTGAAACTTTGAAGTCATTTAGAAATATTTAATAATATATGTTGATAAACCTTCCACTATTTTGACAAAATGCATGGTAAAAGATGATTTAAATATAAATCTTATAATATTTATAGTCACTATTGATTTATATTTAACAATGTTATATTTTTCCAAATATCACAGAAGGTACACATTTCTTTGTATTAAACTCTGAATAAACTGTTGAATAAATCCTATAATAAAATAAACTGAACTATGTAATAAGTATAATTAAAATCAATGATTTGTAAACTAATCTTGCATGTAATAAATTGCGTAATAGAATAATTAATTACATTCACCATGTAATATATTAAATGTTCTGCATTATATACACTTTAAGAGACTTTGCTTTGTTTACAGTAAAATATATTTTTTGCTTTTGAATACATTTTGGATTACTGTATTGCAACCATATTTTTGATAGAATTTTGAAACTGATAAGATTTTTTCATTGATTTAATAGTACGCGAAATATTATCTATTCACAGATCAATCTTTTACGTCATTTGCGCAATTTGTCACACTTGTTTTACAGTGATTCATGTTTAAATGACATTAATGTTTTCAATACTCGCCGAATGGCGCTGTCGTCGTTATAAGTCGTTTATGACAACAATACATATATAATTTGAAATTAATTTTAAAGCAATTAATATCTAAATTAATATTTTAACTAGATGTAAGTGGCATGTTGCTTTAATGCAAGTTGCGAGAACTTGATAATAATCGACTTGATCAATAAAAAATCAATCGACACTTCTGCTTCTGCAATTGGGGAACTTGCTTCAGGGTTTCTCAAAATGTCAGGAACTATTGCATATTATTTAATTTTGAACGAATGTATCAATCATACTAATTATATTGAAAAAACAGTTTAATTTTTTGTTTGTTTTCATCATTTTACATGCTGTTCAATCAAAACTGATGATTTTGCCTTAAGGGGCACAACTAGTGTAAACGCCTAAAAAAGGTGATTTTTGGGAATTTATATTAAAACAACTACTTTATCAATCATTTTAAAATTAGGAATATGTTTATACATGTTTTAAAAATACATAGTAAAATTTTTGAAGAAAAAAATTAAATATTTTTTAAGTTATCGTCGATCTCCAACGGCGCGACAAAAAAGGCCCTTCACTGTTGCAGTGATTCCGGCCTTCTACGTGGATAAAATTTAAAAAAAAAAATCTTGTTAAACTAGATTTTTCATTAAACTAGATAATATTGTCTGTAAAATGAACTAGGATAAAGAAAAAAATCAAAAATTGACAAAATGACGGCGTTTTTTTTAAAAAAGTCGATTTTTACCCAAAATTTTGGTCGTTTTTGGATTGCCAAATTCGATTATTGATCCGATCAAAAAATCGATAGTTCATTTTACGAAGAACTATATATAGAACATGTAAAAAAAATTTTGATAGTGATCGGATCATTTGTTTTTGAGTAATCACTGCAGCAAATTCGGAAAATGCTGTTTCGAGAAAATTCGTTTAAAGATTAAATGATCGTTATATTGTATACTATATATATACTCTTTAAATGGCTGTGTCTCAAAAACTATTTAAGATATCGATTTAAAATTTTTGATATGTTATTTTTAAAGGTATAATCTGTCTAAATATGGAAAAATTTAAATTCGACTTTTTGAAAATTTCACACTAGTTGTGCCCATTAAAGCAAGTTGCATTTACTTTTAAAAATTTATAAAGGATTTTCTGGCAGAAAAAATAACAAAGACAAAGATTGGAAATTGCACAAGTGAAATATGCAAATTAACATGTAGAGTACCACAAGGATCATCCAAGTTTTTGAGAAAACTTTGACGAACTTTCAAAAATCGAGTCACATGCACACCACTCATACACACCATACTTTTTACCAATTTGGTCTCATTCGATTCAGAATACTTGAAAGGTCAAAAAACATTATACATATCAGCAAATCGGATTTTCTCGCATTTTTTCCTTAATAAAATTTTATCCCGATGCTATAACTATAGTCATAGAAAAAGAAAGAGAATAGTTACTATATGGTTACTATAACTAGAATAATAGAGATATAGATTAATAAATCTAGATCAAAGTCAGAGAATAGTTCCTATATGGTTACTATAACTATAGTTACCTATAGTTATATACTATATAGGATTTAGACCAAATTGAAATAATTTATGTTAAATTATTAAAACTTTGAATAAGAACACATACACCTAACGTATTATTATGAAGCCAATTCAGGATTCAATTAATTTTTGTTTTAATTGGGATCTATTTTACATTTTCAAAATATCGATATTGTATTGATTAACAAACCTTTTGCTTATGCGCATATCTTTTAAAGTACTCAAATAAATTTTAATTGAATAATGCATAATTAGTTGTTTATTTACCATTTATTACATCCCATGTTTTATAATAGATTAATTTTGAGCTCATGATTCTTAATTAATTCAACTGACAGGAGTAAGTTTTTTATTATGACAGTTGTTTTTTAGAGCCGCAATGTTCTTGACCATTGTATGCGAAAAATAACAATGACAATCAGCAAAACAATATTTATTGTAATTTTATTACAGTAACTTTTTATAGAATGGCTTTCACAAATAAACAGTTAATAATTATAGACTTGAAGTTTTTCGGCAAAGTTCAGGTTAGTTTTGATGTTAATGAAATGTATGAGTCACTCATGTTTTAATATACTTTTATTGCAGATGTCTTTTTCAGAAAGGTCAGTTCTTTGTTTAATAAAATTTGTCAAATATAGTAATGGTTATGAACCATATCAATTTTTATTATTTATTATTCCAGCATACTGCACTACAAGCAGGGAGATTAAATATTACAGGCTGGTGCAAGAATACTGCGAGTGGCACAGTGAAGGACAACTTGAAGAACCCCCAGAAGCGTTGATGAAATGTATGTCTTATAAGATTATATTTTCCATATAGCAAAAAGCTCAATCTCTAATAATCGAATAGGAAATCATGGCTGCAAAATTGGTAGTCCAAGCTCTAAAATTGAGAGGCTTAGTTTTAGCAATGAAAAGACTGTTACAAAAACCACAATATAGGCTTTTAAAATCCGACTTTAAGCATACATTGTTTATCAAATTTGTAATTGAAGTAAGACATAGTATTATCCTGTAAAATTATATTTTATAAATTTAAATAAATAAACTATCTTGATATAAATGCATTTTTTATTTCCATAAAAACCCAGCCGTAATCTTATCGATCAATTTTCTTATGAATAGAATGCCCCTTTTTTTAGTCCTATTGCTTTAAATATAATTAGTTATTCTAAATGGCTTACTTATTGGGAAGTTAAAGTTGGA